GAGGGTTGCTCATTTTGCACTTGCTGTGATAGATTTTTTTATTTAATATTACAAATCTTTGTTGTCTTCCGTTTTGCTACAACATATTGTAATTGCTGTTAACAATAGAATCGATATACCTAATCTTCATTCATAATATCGAGTTTACGAAAAACTCACGAGCTGTGATTATAACCAAAAACCTTGGTTACGCAGGTTTCTATCCATAAGAAACAAAAGAATAAAAGAAACTTTCATACCAAGATCCGCAATATAAATATCATCATTGTGTACTCCAATAAATCTTGGTTTACTAGTTGATTCAGGTAAAACTCTTCCTGATATATGATTAATATATTGTTGTTTTAGAATATTCTCTGATTGACGATTAATCGAAAGATTTTGTTCACAAACTAATTGACCATTATTTGGATCAAATAAAATTAAACGACAATTTTCAGCTGATTGATTATCTATTGCTTTTGAATCAATTGTTAATATATAACGATCACGATATGAAGCAATACCTATGAAGAGAAATTTTATTAAGAAAAAAAAAGTTTGTTTCGTCGAAAAATAAACCATATAATTGCTTAATAGATCGATGACCAAGTGTTTGTATTAAACGACCATCAGGCTCAGTTATATAAATAGAATCTCTTTCAACAATTAAAATATTATTACGTGCGTTACTCATAACAGCACCTGGACGATGAAATTTCATTTGCTAGAAACAAAAAATAAGGAATTAGGATCAAAGATGACATCGGTTGGGTGCAAACTCTTTAAAAAACAAGCACCAATCCTATCTCTTATCTAAATAGAATTTCTTTATAGAAAATAATTCTTTTTGTTTTTAATACCTGATTACTTGAAATCGTATGTTTTAATCGTCCAGTTTGAATATCAAATAATCGAACATTTTGAGCATTTCGATGTACATCACATGAAAGTAATGTTAATTCATCATATGATAAACCAACACCAATTGGTAAACAATTTGTTTGTTGACTACTTTGTGGTGTACCAAATGTCATACAAAGTTCACCACGTAAACTTGGTCGATCTAAATGAAAAAAAAAAATCTTCGATTATTTTTTTATTTAAAAAAATTTATGAAATTACTTTGTTTATTTCCAAATTCTTGAATATATTCATCAGTTACATGAGGATGAGTTAATGTTTTTGTTTGATTAATACGTGATTGTTGACTAATAATAAAAAGATAATTTTATTATATAATCGTTTGACTTACTCAGTATTAGGAGCAATTAAACTTGAAAAACGAGAATTTAGATGAAGTTGTCGATTTGTATCATGATCATTATTATCATGACTAGATTAATTAAAAATAGAAATTGTTTTTTCTTTGTAAGAGAATTTTTATTTACATAGAAGGTGTTACTAATGGTAATTGTGACCCTGACGTATTATTTAAACGAATACTATTCTCATTTAAAGGTATAGGAATAGGTGTATCTCGTTGTTGACTATTGAGAATTTCATTTCTATTGTTTACATTGATTTTTGATGGAAGATTTGAATGTTCATTTTTTATGACTTTTTTTAGTAATGATGATGAACAATGTCCATTGACGGTATCATTTTTTGATATATCAGCAGATTTTACTAAAGATTTCTCATTAGCTGAATTTATTGAAGTAAAAAGTGATGAATTTTGACGCGGTGGAAAAGAAGCTATATTTGTTGCTGATTTTTTTATTGATTGTGTACTTGTATCTATGATTTCATATTCACTTTGATAGGATACAGTTGACATCGGTCGTGATAATGTTGATGTCGGAATAGGAGTCGAAGATACTGAAAGAGTTTTCATTTGATCCATGATAGGTTTTGTTGATGGTACAACTGTATTTTGTGATGATCGAGATAATTCAGATTGACTTATTATCGATGGAGGAAAAATTGTTGTAGGTTTATCGAATTGCTTTGGTAGCATATCAGGTGGTGGTGTAATGATTGTTGTTTGATTCGAAGCTGTCGAAATATTTCTATTTGCATATCCATTTTGAATCAGCGGGTCTATTATGAAACATAAATGATGAAAAGAAAAAAATATGATAAAATCTGATTAATAATAAAAGGAAGTTTATGTTATCTGTGTATGACAATGATGAAAGTTATACAATTCCTATCAAAATCAGAATATATAAAAATTCTTATTAGATTCAGCTATTAGGTTTCTTTTTATCTACAGAATATAAAAATTTATTCACGAGGTGAACAAATCATCTTAACTTGTAATAAATAGAATCGTGCTCAAGAATTGTCTTTGTGTTTGGCTATGAAAAAAATCTTGATTGTAATTATTAGAAATTAATCAGAGAAGTATTAGCACGGATTCCACCCTTTTGAACTCATATTTTGACTATAAGTACTTTCAACAAATAAATACTCATTTTGAATAGTATTGACAAGTGTATCTATTGGCGAAAAAATCAAAATCAAAAATTTAAACACTAGCGAACCTTAGGTGACGAACCTGAAAAGAGAAGAAGTGTCGGTAGGATTGTGATACTACGGTTTCGACACTTCTACATAGATTATAAACGTCATACGATTGTCTTTTCTTCATGTCTCACTTAAATATTGTGTTTTTTTTAAAGATTTGAACATAGGATAATTCAAAAATGATGATAAAATAATTTATTTGATATCTTTAGTCACAAGTCACTAGAATGATCAATGAGCAATAATTTGAAAAACTGTCATCTTTTTCTGGCCATAAGCATGAACATTTTTTGGAGTTTTCTTAACCTCATTGAGATCTTTTAAAGGCAAAAGATAAAGTCGAAAGTTTGAAATTGATTGAGGTACCTCTCTCATATTTTAGTTTAACTTATGTTATCATTCTTTTATCGCATTAAGATTCGAAATAAAAGAAAACCTGTTCGTTCGTTGATATTTATCTTTCTTTCTTGTTTAATTGGTTGTTGACCGGAAATAATTTTGTCGAATGACATTGTTTGCATTTCCATTGGTAATGAATTAATCTTTTCAAGATTAGTTAATACAGCTAGAAATAATGTTTAAAAAATTATCAATATATATTCATATAAATGTATTGTACCTGACATATTTTTATACATATCTGTATAAGTTGTATTTTCAGCATCTATTTTTCAATAAATTAAATTAATTATTTTAAATGAAAATCATTAAATTTACTGTGCTGTTGAATAAGTCCGAAAAGACTTTGATGAGTTGATTCAAGTAATTGTGATGTTTGTCGAATTGTATTGGGATCAAGCCATGTGAAACATTGATCAATAGCATCTTTAAGTTTAACTAAAAAAACGAAATGAATACATAAAGATAGAATAAACAATAGAAATATTTACTAGCAAATTGTTGAATATCATCATAGATTAATTCTGATTCAGGTGCAAAACGAGTAAATGTTTGTGAAAGTGATAATAAAACATTAAATGTATCTTGTGGATTGCTATGCATTAATCGAAGACAATCGTCTAAAGCTGGTTGAAGAAATGTATTAACTGCATAAGCAAATGGATGAATTCTTTAGGGAAAAAAAAACACAAGAGAAAAATTAACAAAAAAATAAAAATAATTATAACGAAAAAAAATCATACTGATGAGCTAGAAATTTGAAGAGTAATAATTTCGGTCGATCAAAATTAGTCGACGACGATACATCCGATTTTATCATTGATACGTTTAAATATTCTATAATAATATGAATATTAGCAAAAAGAAAAAACGACATGTCTATTCGTAGTCCCTCACTTTTTTTACCCATTTTTTAAAATCCAATCGAATTTTTTAATATCTTTGCGACCAAATGATATCATCAGTATTCCTATTGAGTGCGACATCTTGATTTGTATTCGAATCACAATCAAACTTTCATTAATATGCATTCAGTTTTGTTTAACTCTTTTACTGCTTTAGGTCATGAGTGTTCAACATGTTTCAATACACTACTTTTTCTAACGATTCTTTAAAATTACGCGCTAAATTTTATTCACAAAATATTTATTTGATTTCATCTTGGCAAAATCAAAAGTTCTAGTGTGAATGGATTACACTGACATATTAGTTTATTATTACTTTTCTTACCATCGTTATGATTCATTTAGTTCTGAGTTAAAGATCAAATTTTTATTTGACGAAGGATATCATCTAACTGTTCAATTGCTTTTAAATCGAGCCTAAGCATCGTGTATAGATCCAAATGAACTATGCGTAATCTGAAAATAATTCGTGCTCTTAGATTATTGTGACGAAGATACTATTAAATAAATACTATGCTTGCCTCAGAAAAACTGATTTTTGAATTGCAACGTGAAACTTTGATTGGAAACGACCGTTAATAAGAACGTTTTTTTTCGCGAATGCTTCAGATATTTTGATTTGTTCCTATTCTCAAATAAGAAAATCAAATCTGCTTCATTTGCAAAACTTTTCTTGTCAAGGCCTGTCTCTATGCAGAGTTTGAAGTCGAAACTCGTAAAATCAATTTTTCTGTTGTTCCTGCGGAGGACCACGACATTTATTTAAAAGTATCTCCATCACAAAAAGCTAAGAGCACGAACACTTTTGAGTTTTTTTTTGTAGCTGATTTGAATCTACATAATACACATAGCCTCGACTCAAAAGGAATTGAACAATTGAAGGACTTTCCCCGTGATCCTTCAAACTGCTCCGAAAAGGCCAGCTACTTTTAAACGATTATTTATATTCTTTCAAATCATAACTGACTGTTGCTTCTAAAGTATCACTCATTAATCTGGCAGGCTCTGCTTAAGGTAATGTCATTCTATCTTTGATTAAGTTCTTGTTTTATTCAGTTGTATCAAAAGAACATCATTTGATCATCGAATTCAAGCGCTTTAGAATAACCTTTATCTCAGCATACAAATTTTCATTTTTGTTAATAAAGCAAAAATACAAAAAAAAAACAACCGAACAAACATTTGTTTCAAATTAAATATCTGACACTATACATAGTTATATGAAAATAATTGTTTATATTTACATTAAGACTGTTGATCAATTAAAGTCTTAATAGTAGGTCTTGCTATTCGTGGAGGAATAGGAGGAGGTGGTGGTGGTAGATAATTTGATGAGAATGTATCAGAGCTTGTTAATAAATGATTAACAGTCATCGAATTCGATATGTCAGATGATCCGATCGGAAATTTCTGTGCTAAAATATGTCCATGATTACTACTAATTAAATCAGGTTTAAATGTAATCATTCGTTCTGCTGTGCTTCCCTGAAATCAAAGAAAAAAAACAATGATTCTTTTTTTCTTCAATTTAAATTTGAAATTTACATGAATTTTGGATTCATCCAACCCATCCGTTAGATTGTTACTTATCTCAATTGGTAGAGGATTTGTAAGAATATTATTTCGTTTGATTCTATGTGGACTTTTAGCAAGACGAGACATAACGCCAGTTCGTGTAGGACTACGTTTTGTGGTAATAACTGTTGATGAATCATTGTTATTATTATTATGAGTAAATAAAGTTTTGCTACATGATTTATTATTTGGTGATGTTTTGTCAGTTCGATTAGGACTAGAAGTTGGTGATTTCGGTGGTTTACGACTAATAATATTATCATTAACAGTAAGATGAGGACTTATTTTCAATGGTGAAATATGTTCATCGGATTTAGTCTAAAATTAAAAATTTATCGAAATGAAAAAAATAAAATAAAATAAATTTTTGTCTACCGTATTTTTTTCTGGTGTTACAGAAGAATTGCATTGCTGTTGTTGTTGTTGTTCAATATCAATAAGTCGTTCCTCTCTTATAACCGGTGTTTTATCTGGTTCTCTTGATGAAATAATAAAATTATCATTTATTTGTGTTTGATTAATATCATTAAAAATATGATTTGATTGAGTACGATGACTTGTTGTTGTTGCTTCTGTATTCAATGTTGTTGAATGTTGACGACGAAATCTTGCAATAACAATATTTGAATCTGGTGATTCTCCATGTTCATTATAGGTTCGAAGTTTTATTTTATATTCTCCTTCATCACGAATATAATCAATAATAGCTTCAAAACGACCTGAATCAATAGCACCTTTTAATATATCATCAATATATATACGATAACCAAGTATGGAACGATGTTCATTTAATGGATTAGGTATCCAATGAAGAAAAAAACTTTTTGTATCACGTTTTGATATATGAGCACGAAGTGGAGGATATAAATTAGGATTTTGTTTCATTATAGAATTCGATGACTGAGTAACCTAGAATAAGACAAACTGTTAGCATATAGAACAGGAAATATAGCTGAATGAGGGCTGCGCAAGTACGAGTACAAAAATGTACTCTGAAATCAACATCACTCCCATAAATTTAGAATCAGCGGGGATGTACTCTCATGTACTCTGATCGTCATATGTACTGGAATAAAATTTAGAATCGGTGGGGATGTACTTTCATGTACTTACATGAAAGTACATCCCCACCGATTCTAAACTTTTCCCCAGTACATATGGTAGTCAGAGTACATATTTGATTTATGAAAGTATATGAGTAATTGAGAGTACAAATTGTAGTTGTATTTGCGCATCTCCGGAGGAGAGCTGAATATAAACAGATTTTTTCTAAAAATGTTCTTTTCAATTTTGTGTTTTTTTTTTAATAAACTAGAGTATAATAGAATTTCAATATTGTTAGAAAGAAAAGATCATCGTGTAAAGGGTGTCTAATAAGTATTGATTATGAGGATTTTTCCGCTGTTTTATTAGGAATGTTAAATTAAAAAAAAAGTGTGATCAATGTTTAAGTATCTGTTCTGCATCTTGATCTATGAAATGCTTCAATTGATTCGGTAATTTTTCCATGATTTACTCGTATTTTACTGCGATCAACACTTTCTATTTTGTTACTACTCGATCTTCCAACTTTGGCTTCAAATTTTTCTCTTCTCAATTATTCCTCAATTTTACCACAAACTGTCTCGATCAACCAAATATTTTCATCACAACTGTTGTTCAATGTTTGCTATCCTTATCATTTCGAGAAATTGGTATCATTTTAGTATTTTTCTTTAAATGCGCAATAACTAAAAGCAGGAATGATAAGCAGACAATTAAAATTTTCTCGTTATGAGAAATTGATCAAATAACTATGTACAATTTTTGTATTTGTACTGTTTGTAAAAAACTCCGAAAAAAATGGTGGAGTGTGGGTGTGAAGCTGATTATTCATTCACTCCATCTACACCTTCAATTCATTCAACGAAAAGCATCATCGGTCAATTCGTTCGACGACGCCAGAAGTGTTTTTACATATCTTCAGATTAAAAGAATTTATTCAAAACATAATTCTGCTAAAGAATCAAAGCCAAATGAAAGGTGGGTATGTTCGATTTTACCTGAAACGACACATGTATCCTGCAACTATCATCCTATACTACTGAAAAAAGACATAAAAAAATATTATTTGAAGGAGATCAAAACTTATTAGACATCGTTTATAATCTGACAAGTATCGTTGTGAGAGGTTTGTTCTTTTTCTCTTACTGATTTTATTTCATTAGCATTTAAACGAACTTCAAGTTCACGTATGCGTTGATTGAGTAATCGATTTTCTTGTATTAATCTTTCAGTTTCATGTTGATGAGTTAAACTTTGTGTTTCACACTAAAAATACACAAGATTATATTCATATTGTTCTTTTTTCGAGATTTACTTTTTTCCAAAGTGCAGTTAATGCTGATGTTTGTAATTCTGTTGTTTTTGTAAAACGTTCATGTAAATTAATATATCTTAAAATGTTATAGTATTTAATAGAATATTTAAAAAAAATTTATAATAAACATACGTTTGAAGGAGTGATGTTCGCATTGTTTCAACTGATGCAGTTAATCGTTGTAATTCAGCACTATTACTCATGGTTATACTTTGAGTTGAAAGCATACCATCGATAGGAGCTGATTTTAAATGAAGTTCATCATCATCTTCATCATCCATATGTTCTAATTTGAAAAAGAATAAAAATTTCTTTTAATAAAATTCTTCAATTCTTTTTTTCAATATTTCTGTTAGTAGGATTTATATTAACAAAGATGATGTAAAAGTGACGTAAGGTTTTTAACTTTTATTTTTTTTTTATTGCATTTGAGTAATATTGATTTTTTTTGTCACGTGATTCTTACAACTTTTATTATTATTTCAAGTACCTGTTGATGGTTGTTGCTCTTTATTTTTGACCTTGGCTATGGTTGTCAAGCAATGTGGATTTTTCTCATGTGAATGATTAAGTGATCGTAATGCGTTGGCGTTACTTGAATTGGTTGTTTGACGTTTTACTCGATTGTGACGTTCTAAAATTTCTAAGAAATTTATTTAAGAATAAAAAAAATTAATAATATTAATTTCTTACGTCTAACAAGATTTCGATTTAATTTTGTATGTAGAGCTGATGAAGCAGTTGGTCCTAGTCTAGTCGTTTTTGGTGAATAACGATTAGCATTGTAGATTAAATGAGATGATGTTCGTTTAGTTTGTTGAGTATTAGTATTCGTGTTCTCATTTATATGACTAATAGCATTTAGAAAATGTTTTCTTTTCTTTTCTTTTTTTTTTTGGTAAAGTTATAAAACTTACCTATTAACTGGATATTGATCAAGTTTCGTTTGAAGCATATTTTGATCAAGTGGTTTTATAGGTCGATTATCATAATTCGTATAACGATTACTAGAACTATTTTCAGTTATTTGATCATCAATGTAATTTGTAGTGATATTTGTTGCTCTAGAATATCCTGGACTTGGTGTTCGCATTTGTTGTTCTGTATATGATAGAATTAAAAAGAAAAATTTTTAAATTCAATTTTATTTTTTAATAATCTTACGATGAACAGATATCATAGGTTCATTCACTGTAGAAACTGTAGATGAAGCATTTACTTTAAGAAATTCCAATTCTGATATAAGTGTACTTTGTTGAGATTTTCCTTGAGTATCTAAAAAATAGAAGTTTTTTTTTAGCTTAATAGAAAATTAAAAAGAATAAATAAAACTTTTAGATAATGTTTCATTGGCATCTTTCATTGTATCTGATGTTGTCATCATTTGTTCATTTGAATTTATTTGTTCTAAGAAACGAAAAATTAAAATTAAAAAAATAAACTCAATTTATTTTCTTGTCTTACCATCGCTACTTTTTCGTTGATGATTATATAAATCTTGTTCAAGCATAATTCGTGATAAATGTAGATCATCTCTCTTAAAAACAAAAAAGAATTATTAAATCGAAATTTAAACTTCTTTACTTCATCAGCATTTGTTCCACAAACTCTTGTTAAATATTGAACAAGTTCTGCATGTTCACCAGGTCCAAATGATCGACCTTTACCTTGACTCAACAACCATTCAGCTTTTAAACTATATTATCAATAAAAACACAACAATATTTAAATATCATTTTTCGATGCAAGAAGAAACAAATTTTATGCGTTTTTAAATTATGTCTAAATTAGGAATAGCAGTTTAACTTTACTGATAAGTTAAAGTAACACTTAAAACGTTAACAACTGTGTTACAATATTTTTTGAATGTTTTAAAGTGTCGCCCTCAACATACATCCATCACATCCTACTAGAATGAAAAAATCTTTCAATTTTGTGCAGCAAATAGTTCAAATTTATGAAAAAACATGATATCAATACTAATTACTGAGTTTTTTTTATTGAATATCAATCCAAATTTTATAACGATTGATAAAATCTTATGATATATATATATATAGAACAAGTTAATTAAAATTTATCAATGCAGTTTCATCTCTAAACTAATTTCATGAGACTAACTAGTCCAGTAGTATGATATCTATTTTGAATTTTCATTTAAACTTAGTTTCATCTTAAGATGATGTATTGAAAATTTTACCTTTCTTTTCGTGTTATAAATACACCATCTAAATTATGAATAGATAAGCACCAATTAAGAACATATGGTCGATAGTCAAATGGTTGATGACAACCGTGTCTTTCATCTACCACAGATAAACATGGATTATCAACAATATAAAATGTATTTAAATTGAAAAATGACGATAGATAAGAAATCTTTTTAAGAGAAAAATAAATATTTGAAAAAAATGATATGAAGAAAATAAAACGAATTTACTTCAGTTAAATCTTGAATTTCATTGTCTGATATAACAAGTGTATGAAGAGACTTTGGCCAATAACGTGGAATTGAAATTAATGCATCAATAAAATTTTTATGCAAATTTAAATACTATGGAAGACAAAAAAAAACAAGGACACAATAGAAAATAAATTTTCATTTGAATTTCAAATTAGTTTACTTTAAGTGCTGTTAACTGTGAAAGATCTTCAATCTGTTGTATTGCATTTTCACTTGCATCTAATGATTGTAAAGCATGACAAGCATTTAATATCGCAATACTATGAATATTATTATTTGAAATATTCAACATAACAAGATTTTGTAAAGTTCTAAGACCTTAAGAAAAAAAAAACGTGGTTTATTTTTTTTATAAAATAAACTTGTTTTCTCTTTTTTTTTGATTTACAATCAATTGACTCAATTAAATTATATGATAAATTAAGTTTTTGTAAAGATCGTAATCGATTAAGTAAACGAATATCGACAAGACGATTATGAGATATTGATAACTAAAGATATGCAATGAAACAGTTGTTTTTTTTTTTGTTAATATTCTTCTTCTTACTTGAATTAATTGTGGAAATATATCCAGATTATCAAGTTTACTTATTTCATTGTTATCAAGTAGAATAATATTAAAACTAATATTATTTGGTAATTTATCAATTTTTTGTAACTGTTTTGAACATAAATCAAGTCGTGTTAAATGTTGTTCTAATAAACGATCATCAATAGAAAATATTAATGGTTGATGTATTCGGTTTGACATTGTTGTTGTGATTTGTTGCCTTTCATTCGGAGAATTCGAACTAATTTGACAATGCGTCGATGAATATTTTTGTTGTATGACTTGCATTAGAAGATGAAAATTGCTATATTTTACATGAAATAATCAATCAAAAAAGCACCACGAGTGATACATATGTTTAAATGTAAAGTGATTTAATTGACTTCTTTTTTCTCTTCTATACATTTTCAATTATTTTTCTCGTTCCACATAGTTTCCTTTTAGTTTAATAAGTATGTACCATATTTTTAAAGTAGTCATATCCATAGTAACTATTGTTAAATTATAAAAATAAAAAAAAAAACACTATTTGTAATATATTTTAAGTCTTTAGATGTTTATTATACGTAATTTTATGAGTAAAATTACATTGATTTACTGTTTTGACTGACAGAGATCGCTATATGTCAGTAGAGTATCAGCTTTTTTGTATTAATTAGCAATAAGTCTCTGTAGTAGAGATGTTTAGAACTAGTTGAAGTCCCAGTGAGCGAGACAGCAATTACGAGAAAAAAATATTTGACACAGAACTGAAAGTTAAAATTAAACTTTCTATGATTTTTAGCGAATTTCGCTATAAACACTACATCAATTAAAGCAAAGTTTAGGAGAGGTGACAAACAAAAATGGCATTCATCAGGTAAATTAATTAAAACACGAGTATTTAAGGTGTTTTCAAATTTTATGCAAACAAATTCTGAAGATTTAACAGGACTAAAAAATATTTTGTATCGTACATGTGAAGTCTGAAAATCTGACGAGTACATTCTGCCGAGCAAATTTTGATTCTTATGCCATGAAGAAGGAATGAAAAGAAATAATCTTGCCTTATTTGTAATTGACTCTTTATAATTAGAAAATACTCTTGAAGTTGTCATATCTTGCACTTGATCACTCAAATTCTTTGAAATAATGATAAGTGTTGTTTCGTACATGGAGAGCGATTACAATTGCATCGAAATGATTTATATATGAATAGAAGTTTTTAATGAAGCGTAAAAGACTTAACAAGAATTTCATCATTGTCCAAATATTCACATACAATTTCAACGAGGAAAAAAAGTAAGACATCATCCATTTGAAGGACAAAAGATTTTGCATACTTTTCCTTTAATACCAGCTCAAATCTGATATCTGAATATGACTTTTATACATTTACTTTTTATATGAGAATTTTCTGTAAAAGACTTTGTCTCCTTTCGTTGGCAACTAGTGATGCACTGGTTTAAACATGTACGTATAGATTAACGATGAAGACGGTTAGCGCATGATGAAACTATGATGGTCTTGAACTGATTTCGATTTTTCGGTCGTGGAGACTATGCCAAGAAAGTAGCTTAATTTTATAAAAATAGGCTAAAGATTTTCGGCGTTGAGGAATTCGAAACTTCAGAATTCGATTTTCTTGTTTGAGAAAGACTTAATTCGTACGGTTTAGTCATGTTTAATAAAATTCATCTTTTTTCATTGAAATACACCTTTCCCGAATGAAAAAGTCGAAATAACCATAAGGTCATTGTAGTTTTATAATGTATTCATCTTTTTCACCATTATTTTAACCCTTTGGCTCCCGGCTTTTTTTGTGAGAATCAAAGTTTTTAAAATTAATGTTTAAATATGATTTCTATTTTTTTCACAAAGAAATTTCATTTCTGTTCTAAAAAACATTAATAGTTCATCTTTGTATGATAGTCTTTGAAGCAATCAACAATATATAGTGGTATATTACAGTGAGAACACATACATATATCGTGTAACGTGTCGAAAATTATGGGATGAGCACACCGCACATTGTCGTCGAGGCTGTTCTAGTTGCGATGTTTGTGGAATGAACGAAGGGAAATGTCGAGCAGTTAAACGGAGAGGAGAAGGCCTTGTCGATGGTCTTCCAATAGTAGTCGGCCTTTGTGGTCCGAACTTTGTCAAAATTTCTCTGATCAGATCGAGTCGAAAATCAGATAAGTGGCGCGAAATATCATTTTGCATTTTATAAATTACAAATGCATTATATACTGCCATATCCAATAGGTGGAAAAAAACTTTCTTGTACCATGTTACCGATTTTCTTATACATTCTGAAAATGACATTTGCATATCAACATGATCGACTGCGCCTATATTTTTAGTGTAGTCGAGAATGCAAACAGGTTTTCGAATCTCTTGTCCAGTTTGCCGATCTATTTTGTCTGAATTCGCATATGCTGTCGAATGAATGGTTGAAAGCATGTGAACTTCTCGTTTTTGTGGTACTCCTTGTCTATTTTTACGAACAGTACCACATGCACCAATTTTATTTCGACGTAAGAGCTCAAAAAGTGCTGGACTTGTATACCAATTGTCAACGTACAAATGGTGCCCTTTATTCAAATAACGTCGCATTAGTTCCATTACAAGTGATCCACTTTTTCCAAGTTCAGGTGTAATTTGATACTCTGTATTTGATCCGGTGTAAACGATGAAGTCGAGGATAAATTTAGTTTCACAATCGACAGGCTCAAACGATTTGATTCCAGATTGGTGACGCTTAGACGCAATATATTGTTTGAATCCAAGCCTTCCTTTCCATAACATGAGACTTTCATCGATGCAAAGATTTTGTGTTGGATTGACACAATTTGAAAAATTCTTGTTCAAGCCATCTATGATTGGCTTTATTTTCTCGAGAGCGTTGTTGCCGGAAATGTCCTCGTTATTTATAAAGTGCAAGTGGTGTAGAATGTCTTGGTATCGACTCCTTGTAAAATACGGACCGAAAATGAGTGTAGATAATAAGGGATCGATGCTCCAGTAGTCCTGAATCCTATTTTTGTTGATAAGTCCAGTAAGCATCGTAATCGCAAGAAATGTGTATATTTCCATTGAGGTTACGTCTTGCCAGTTAGACATATGCTGACGTTCATCTGTTGAATTCTGAGAATGGTAACGATTCGTTTCGTCAACTATATGCTGCATCATATTTTCATCAAAAAAGAGTTGAAAATAGTCAAGTGGTATTTTTCCAACAAGTGGAATCGTATTTCGTATACCTGTTTGGGGTGTGGCTGTGGGTCTTGATGTATATGGAACATCACACCCACACCCAGCTACCAAAAGAACGAGTTATAAGTTTTCGGCATCCTTCCTAGGCTGCCAATCATTATCAAATGTTCTGTTTTTCTCTTTTCTTCTACAAATGGGCCACCCTTCTGAGCTGAAACACGAAATCATGCACACAAACTTGTACTGGTTAGTCATACGCAGGAGGTTCAATCCGAGAGCCGGATCCGATCAGATCCGACAGGATACGATCGAGTTCCCGCAGAATCCGCTCAGATAATTTGGGTATCCTGTCGGAATATCATAGGATTCTCGGTTGTGGAATGACGTTCGGATCTCTGGTGTCGAAAAACGAGATGAGCCTACTATCGGAATCCGATAGGAAACAACTGTGGTGAATCCCAGCTATCCGACAGTCTAAAACCACTGAATTTCGAGGATTTCCAACAAACGGATCCTATAAGATTTACATCGGTAGCATTCCTATATAATCCCTATCAGAAAACATCGGAATTCAAAATATTCCAACAGCACCCGTCAGATTCCGACACCAGTGCTGCCTATACAAAGCCTACACTTGGCAATCATTTGCTTTGATGGTATCCGATATGATGTGCGCAAAAACCGATCAAAAACGAAAGACTCCATCATTTCCTACGAACCATTCTTAACGATTACAGTTCTAATACGCTTCCAAGTTCACAAACACACTGTCACAGCATCATGCCTTCATCCTCCTAATACAAATGCAGCTATTCAAATCCAGGAACCGTCAAAAGTGAACAAAAATGGGACGATGCTGTTGATCCTTTCTATGCTTCCCATGCTATTCCAGTTCTGGAGTCCAGAAAAAATGTTTTCAACAAATGATGCTTTTGATGTCATTGTACCGCTAGAATGGAGATATTGTTCAATGAGCTCGGAATGCGTTCAATGGCGTTAGTGAAATTGCAGGGATGAGTTATGGGAAATCCTGAGAAGCTGATATATTGTATATTTTTGGATTTGAAGCAATATTTGTCCTGAATACTGTGTGACACGTTTTGAAGACGTGTGGGTGGGTATGATTTGCTGGTGGCGATGGTTTGCGTTTTGGAAGGTTGGAGAAAGTTGTTGAAGTTGATTATGAATGTGTAGCTACTAGGTTTTAGTTGGGTAGAGTCGATGAAATGTGTTTTATAGTGGTTTGCTCCATGATTTGGTTGTAAAAAGTTGCAGTATGTTGTTGAAAACTTAGTCAAGTCGATCTTGATTAGGATTCGGAAGATTGAAGGAAATAGAAGGCGGTGTTATAGGAAAGATATGTTTTTCGATGATTATGCTGCTCGAGTTGTAGTTGTTGCGTTTTGGACCCTGTTTCAGGCATGAGGCGGTGGCAGGAGTTTCCGTATTAGTTATATGTTGGCTTTATGATTTTTTTGCGGCAGAGGTTCGGAGTGAAGTTTTAAAGGTGATCCATGGATTATCGTAATTGATTTTCAGATAGAAGAAATTGTTTTGTGATGCTTCTTGTTTTGTTGAAACTTATAATTTAGTCAGGTAATATACATTAGCTTTACAGTTTCGGTTACAATGCTCATTTTAGTCGGAGTGAGATTTTCGTAAGGGGGATTCGCTCGGACTGTTGGTAAGTGGTGCTCATAAATCAGGTTTGAATGTTTTAGCTCTAGTTCTCAGATTTTTTTTAGGATAATTTGTTTGATTTTGTAAGGTATTTTTTCGTTTCTGTTATGGATAGTCATTTGTGATGGTTCTGATGACTTCAGGAAATTGGGTAAGTCCTAGTTTGATCATTGTTGGGCACTAACGGTAGGTCGGCGAACCGAAGCAATTTAATTATGAAGTCTTTTTTTGGATTTCCATGGAGTGGGGTAGCAGACGGAAACATATCGTGGGAAATCCTCGAAATAGTCGATGAAGGTTTCCTGGAGCATACAGAAGCAGCAAAGGGATTCTCGGAGGTCTTGATGTACTTTCTCGAAGAGTTACATGAATATATTTTTATGAATTTCACCAAAAAGTAGATTCTAGAT